CCACTAGAGGCGCTTGCGTGCTTCTCACTGTGATTTTCACAGTGAGAGCACGCCAGCGTCCATAGGAAAGTATTGTAAATGCTGTCCTATGCGACTGGCCGAATGCGCGCACAGCGCTTGCCGCGCGTGCGCATTCAGCCCAGGAGGAGGATCGGAGGAGGAGAGAAGGAGGAGAGCTCCCCGCCCAGCGCTGGAAAAAGGTAAGTTTAAACACCTTTCCCCCTTCCAGAGCCGGGCGGGAGGGGATCCCTGAGGGTGGGGGCACCCTCAGGGCACTATAATGCCAGGAAAACGAGTATGTTTTCCTGGCACTATAGTGGTCCTTTAAGAAGTAAACAGTTTAATTTGTGAGCTATATGTGTACAAGGGTGACGAGAACAATGGGTTATTGCTCAATGGGACTTTACAATCAGAAATACTTAAACTCACAGAGCTCTAAAAGGGCAATTGTTTGTGCATAAACATCACAGTCAAGCCAGAGTGTTTGTCAGCCATACGAACCCAAAGTCTGAGGTCGCTTCCATATTTTCAGGATATTAGAACTTAAATGAATCTATTGGAATCATGCATGATATACAAATATACACTAACTGTGTGATTGCTACAGTAATGTCTAAAACTGCATCCTTGACTGATTTAGGGGATAAAGGTAATATAGATATACTTGTGAAGGATTTTCATGTATTTACCTGTGTGCCTTCAGTTAAACCTTCTCCCTGCTGTTTAAATTCTTGTATCAGTTCGTTTCACTATGTATTGAATTAATGTATTGTTTACCGAACGGAGACCACACACCCTGGGTAGCAATCAGCATTACAGCGCAGAGAAAACCACGACTTAATTGCTACTAGGTGGCTGCCATTCGACATACAAACACGTGGCGAGAACAAAGGATGGCCGCCATCTTAAAACTCACGAATGCAGTCAGCGGGGCTTACGCATGAATTGCCTGGAACTAATTTCGGCATGGCAAACATGCGAACGCCCGGTCCCCATGGAAGTCCTGGATGAATACGTTCCCCTCCACGAATCAAACTGGCGTTCGGTAGATAGAATCTACCGAATGAGGGGAACATTCACATGTAACCAGCTGCACCATACGAACGGTGGTTTTTGTGTAGTTAGATGCGAACGGACACCGGCTCTTGCTACTGATTCTATGGAACTCTAGATCGGATACCTCCACGTGGCGAGCCGGTCAAACTTCCACACGATGCGACACGGAAACTACCGAACGGAAATTCGTGAGATTTGGATATATGACTACCAGTATCCTCAGCTACCCAGGGATGTTGAAATTGTGTTTGTATGTTGCATAGAAAGTACTTTTCTGAAATTGTTAAAAACTGTAATATTTCTGGCCAGCAAATAATTCAGCTGTGTATATTGCCAAAACTCAATTACCTAGCCTGGCCCAGAGGAGGAGTTTTGTGTTGCATAAATTGTAAGTTCTGTGTGCCAGTAAATCAGTCTTGTTCCAGCATTAAGCTTTGGCTCATGTGTGGATTATTCACCGATTCCAGGGATATTTCTGCTTATGGAATATTGAGTGCTTTTCTTTTATGGGAAGAAGGGAATGCTTGACGGTGATACTCTATACTACCGTTACAATACGAATATAATTAGATTCTACTTTTCTTTGTAAAGATGAATGTATCAATCAGTTAATCATACAGGTTAGATGGATACAGGATATAGACATATTGCATGATGATTAATATAACCAACCCTGTTTCAATTAAAGAATATACATAACCAAAGACAGATATTTAATGTAATTAGAAATATCCCCAGTATAGGTGAAGTAACCAGGCCATTTTTACATTTTATTACCGTTAAGGACCAGGGTTCTTTTTACATTTCTGCAGTGGTTGTGTTTAGATGTAATTTGCCTCTTACATTTACTGTACCTATCCATATTATATATCGTTTTTCTCGCTTTTAAATGGTCATTCTAAAGATACCATTATTTTCATCATATAATTTACTAGAAAAAAAAAAGTAAAATATGATGAAAAAAAAGAAAAAAAAAAAAAGTTGGCCATCATGCACCCATGTCCCAGTTGGAACATTTCTGACGACGGCCAATGTAAACCATATGTTTTTGAAAAGTAGACACGCTAGGGCATTTCACATGGTGGCATTTCAACACTTTACATGCACTAATTCTACCACCAGTCTCTGTCAAACGTTTTTGTGGTGTTATTTTTCACTCACACATTCTACTTTGGACATAAATTCTAAGCTCCTGTTAGGTTAAGACACCCCTATATGTGCTCGGCAACATCTCCCGAGTACAGCGATACCACCCATGCATACGTGTGTCGGGTTCACCCCGGAGTGCAAAGCAAAATGTCTGATATGCATTTTTCGATTACAATTGTATGACTTGCAATTTGAGTTGAAATGGAGATTATTTCTTCTGATAGGTCTATCTTTAGCTTGGGGCTTATCACATATCCCAGTTTTATGTATTACCATGAAAGTGTACATACTTGAAACGTAGACACCCCGAGGTATTGCATGTGGAGTGCTTTGATGCAACTTTTTTTAGCCATACAAAAAATAAAAAAGTTGAAGAAAGTGTGTGGAGGTAACTGTTCAAACTTGATTTTTACACACACATTGCTTTTTGACTGTGATTTAGGAGAGCCCGTTGTTGGTTATTGCAAGAAAACACCCCATGTTGTTTTCTGCAAGGCCTCATTGGGACACATTGGGTAAATGTAACAAAACCAAAAAAAAAGACACCAAAAAAACTGAACTGCAAATATTAAAAAATGAAAAACCAGATGGAGTCAAAGCGCTTAAGAATAACTGCAGTGCTGCTGCACTACCCCCAAGTGACACACAGTGACACAAATTAGCAATAGATAACAGAAAGTTGGAATGCGCTAGCAACTGCACTGGAGTCAGGATCTTCTCTGAGTACTCTGAAAAAAATATACAGTATATAGTGCAGACTATCTGTATATACAGGGTATACAAAATTAAAAGTATATCTGAGGATCAACTCACCTATCACCCCTGGCTCTGGGTTTGAATTGCTCCAATGGAGAGGGATAAACCCACAGTATAGCAAAACAGGATACTCTTCTGAATCAGATGGAATATCTAGGCAGTATAAACAAATAGAGAGGCAGGAGCCCAAATTGAATAGTATCAAACACAGTATTTATTTTAACAAGAGGTTAAAAACTCTTACTTGAAGTAGTGGGTTTGCCAGCAATAAACTACCAACTAGATAAGCAGGAATTTACACACAAAAATGGTTCAGCTTAAACACTTCCTGGTTCCGGTCACGTGACCGCTGGGACCGCCTCTCTGATGTCACATGTGACGCGTTTCGCGGCCTCCTGGGCTGTTTCTGACGACATCATTCCTGTTCAGCCCTGTCTTTTAAGTGTCCAGACACTCCCCTTCTGTTTCACCATTGGTTGAGGGGGCAGTCAATCAGACTAGGATTTATTTCTAGTCCTCCCACTCTCAGTGGGTATGTGCACTCAATTCATAAGTCTTTTCTAGGGCTGTCTATGAAATCTGATCATACTGCCTATAGTAAAGATTACAGCACTGTAGGCAGATATTGCCCAAAGATCACATTATGAAAAAAATATTGTTATATAAAACTTTCTATAAAAAACTTTTATAAATATTTTAGCTTCCAACAATATATAATCACATTTATATTCTTTATATTTTTATTGCAATGGGGATCATCTACTAAATAGAATTATACATAAAATAATATTTCTTGCAATCTAGTGAAAAATAGAAGCTAGAAATATCAACCCAAAGTCCAGCCCTGGGATAACATTATTAAAAACAAAATTTGAATAAAATTTAAAGTATTAAAAATTCCAGGGGATCATCACCTAAATGTAAATGTATCAAACATCTAGCTTGACATAGTGTGTGGATAGTTCCTCTATATAGAGCGGATCAATAAATGTAGGTAGAGATAGATATTCAATATTGGAGTTGGTGGATAGTTCCTCTATATAGAGAGGGTCAATAAATGTAGGTAGAGATAGATATTCAATATTGGAGTTGGTGGATAGTTCCTCTATATAGAGAGGGTCAATAAATGTAGGTAGAGATAGATATTCAATATTGGAGTTGGTGGATAGTTCCTCTATATAGAGAGGGTCAATAAATGTAGGTAGAGATAGATATTCAATATTGGAGTTGGTGGATAGTTCCTCTATATAGAGAGGATCAATAAATGTAGGTAGAGATAGATATTCAATATTGGAGTTGGTGGATAGTTCCTCTATATAGAGAGGATCAATAAATGTAGGTAGAGATAGATATTCAATATTGGAGTTGGTGGATAGTTCCTCTATATAGAGAGGGTCAATAAATGTAGGTAGAGATAGATATTCAATATTGGAGTTGGTGGATAGTTCCTCTATATAGAGAGGGTCAATAAATGTAGGTAGAGATAGATATTCAATATTGGAGTTGGTGGATAGTTCCTCTATATAGAGAGGATCAATAAATGTAGGTAGAGATAGATATTCAATATTGGAGTTGGTGGATAGTTCCTCTATATAGAGCGGATCAATAAATGTAGGTAGAGATAGATATTCAATATTGGAGTTGGTGGATAGTTCCTCTATATAGAGAGGATCAATAAATGTAGGTAGAGATAGATATTCAATATTGGAGTTGGTGGATAGTTCCTCTATATAGAGAGGATCAATAAATGTAGGTAGAGATAGATATTCAATATTGGAGTTGGTGGATAGTTCCTCTATATAGAGAGGATCAATAAATGTAGGTAGAGATAGATATTCAATATTGGAGTTGGTGGATAGTTCCTCTATATAGAGAGGGTCAATAAATGTAGGTAGAGATAAATATTCAATATTGGAGTTGGTGGATAGTTCCTCTATATAGAGAGGATCAATAAATGCAGGTAGAGATAGATATTCAATATTGGAGTTGGTGGATAGTTCCTCTATATAGAGAGGGTCAATAAATGTAGGTAGAGATAGATATTCAATATTGGAGTTGGTGGATAGTTCCTCTATATAGAGAGGTCAATAAATGTAGGTAGAGATAAATATTCAATATTGGAGTTGGTGGATAGTTCCTCTATATAGAGAGGATCAATAAATGTAGGTAGAGATAGATATTCAATATTGGAGTTGGTGGATAGTTCCTCTATATAGAGAGGATCAATAAATGTAGGTAGAGATAAATATTCAATATTGGAGTTGCATAATAGTGATCCCACTACACTTAGATTTTTAGGACTAGAAAAAGTTAATAGAGATTGGCGAGGAGAAGATTTAGATAAGAAGTTAGCCCAACAAGAAATCAGATGGATATTTAAATTAAAATCCCTATCACCTAGGGGCTTTAACGGGGAACTTCGAGATCTGTCACTTTCTATAAGTACAATAAGAATGATATTCAAATACATAAATGTATATGCTAAACTATTTTTCTCTTCTCTAGATATACAAGAGTTAAACTCTACAGCATCAAACGCATTATAGATAATGTAATGTGCATGTGTATATGAATATGAGCATTTAGATGTATACAGATGATGCAATGTTTTAATGACTGGTATGAAATGTAATGTACGCACTGTAGGTTGATGATTGACAACAGAGGACATAATTAACCCCTTAAGGACTGAGCCAAATGTACACATTGTGAACAAAACAAAATGTAAACAAAACCTGGCATTTGCGCTACATGTCTGTCCAACCGTAATTCACCTCTTTCATATTAAATGCACTCACCCTTATTATATATTATTTTATTCAGGGGAAAAAATTTGCCAGATTGGATACGTTGCCTTTGGGACTGTATAGTAGCCCAGGAATGACATTTACACCCACAATGGCATACCATTTGCAATAGTAGACAACCCAAGGTATTGCAAATGGGGTATGTCCAGTCTTTTTTAGTAGCCATTTGGTCACAAACACTGGCCAAAGTTAGCGTTAGTATTTGGCCAGTGTTTGTGACTAAGTGGCTACTAAAAAAGACTGGACATACCCCGTTTGCAATACCTTGGGTTGTCTATTATTGCAAATGGTATGCAAACATAGGGGTAATTTTCATTCTTGGGCTACCATAGGGTCTTAAAGGCACCGTAACCAATCTGGCGAATTTTAATGTTAAAAAAATGAAACGCAAGCCTTATATTTGACGCTGTAACTTTTGAAAACACCATAAAACCTGTACATGAGGGGTACTGTTGTACTCGGGAGTAGTGATGTCCCAAACGGTTCGCCACGGACAGTTAACATATGCGCTGTTCGGTCCGCCCCCTATGTCATCATTGAGTAAACTTTGACCCTGTACCCCACAGTCAGCAAACACATTCCAGCCAATCAGCAGCAGACCCTTTGCCACACTAGGGGGATTTTAAAAATAAAATGTGTAGCCCTGTGACAGACCCATCCGTATGAACTAGAATTGCTGTGTTCGTCTGTTTTGCCGTTTGTATGAATTTCCCCATTCGTATGCCTTGTTTAAGGGAATGTACTTTTCTGTCGAACGGAACTACCGAACGGACGGCCATCCGGAAGAGAAGTGTGCTGCTGGTTAACCTATTGATCCCAATTAGAACGTTGCGGTTAACCACAGACACTTCTCAATTAAAACCAAATACAGGGTGGCCATCGTTCGTATGTCGACCACGAGGCGGCGGCCATTTTAACCATGCGAAAGACCAGCCGTGTTCGACGGTTATTTCATGGAGCTGAAATCGGACACTTTTTCAGCCGAACACCGCTGAAGCCATCGACCTCCCTTCTCGATCGACAGAAGTGTGCGAACACCGGCCGTTCGGGAGATTTAAAGGCACGAATGGACTTACCCCCAGATAGCCTTCTCATGGAGTCAATCGCATACCGAAGAACCGTAATAGACTTTGACTCCATGGCGACTGAACTGTGCGTATGGGATCTGAGCGCTATTCACCAGTAATATGCACTCAGATCCAGGCTATCTGGGGATGTGTTACACGAATGTAATATGTTCGGTAGTTATAAAGTTATGTATTTTTATGTGTTTTATGACGTACTTAAAATGGAGATTTGCCTCTGCTCTGGGAGATAACTGAATTACTTCTCAATTATCTCCGGAGCAGAGGGGAGGAAACTGTGATGCATGCTGGGAATATTGTGGGGTTGTATGTCTGAAATGTCCCCATGTCCTTCTGTTATTCCAGTCTCCCATTTGGTCCCCTAGGGGAGTGTCCACCAAGTGGGAGACCTGCATAAATATGGCCAGGTAGCCCACAGTAAACTCAGTTTGTGTTTTACCCTCAAAGCGGAGCTTGGTCTCGTTATTGGGGGGGATTTTATTACCGGCGACTAGAGACTGCTATTTGGAATTATTTGCCGCTTGGAAGATATTGGCGTTCGGCTAATATTGGCAGTTCGTGTATTTGGAGCTTGTGAAGGGAAGGAGCCGTACAGGTACCGTTCGGGAGTTTGGAGTGTTCCCTGGCTGGCGGTTCGCATGGTTATACTGCATACGCTACCAGACCACATTATTTTGAACGGAGAGCATTCACTAAATGGCGGTTTGTACATTTATTACTGAAGGTAACGTAACAAGCCCCAACTCTGCTCTCTCCCATCACCACCCGGGGAGCAGGTGCATCACAGTACAAAATCCCCGAAATGATCTGGATCTGAAACTGTAAAAATCTCAATTGCGTCCCGGGGTTTGCATGTTTGAACAACAAAAAAGCGTTGTGGGTTGCAATCTGCTTTAGGTAGATTGCAACCTTTTTGTACCAGACCCTTGTCTTGCGTATAATTAGGTAGGGCTGCAGCAGCTGACCTGCCAGATCAACCCCATCCATATGCCGGTTATAGGCCTTGATGCACACTGGCTTCCTTATTCTCTCAGCTCTGCCACGTACAGGGACCTCCACAGTCCCCTCAGTGTGGATGGTAGTAAGGAGGTACACATCCTTCTTGTCTCTGTACTTGACTGCCAACAGCTCCTCTTGGCGCAGACCTGAGGTCTCCCCCCTTCGTAGCCGGGTGCGTGCAAGTTGTCCTGGAAAACCTGTGCTGTTCTTTTTTATTGTTATATGTTTTATAATACTGTATTTTCCTGCCTGTGATAATTAAGTTAGACTATTGTGTTGAGATAATTGTATCTGCACTAGAAAAAGTGCAGAGGCGGGCTACAAAATTAATAAAAGGAATTGAACATATCGGCTATGAAGAAAGGTTAACAAATTTAAACCTATTTAGTTTAGAAAAACGTCGACTGAGAGGGGATATGATAACATTATACAAATATATTCGGGGCCAATACAAACCATTGTGTGGAAATCTATTCACAAACCGGACTTTACATAGGACACGAGGCCATGCGTTTAGACTGGAAGAAAGAAGATTTCGCCTAAGGCAAAGGAAAGGTTTTTTTACTGTAAGAACAATCAGGATGTGGAATTCTCTGCCTGAAGTGGTTTTATCAGAGTCCATACAGATGTTCAAACAGCTACTAGATGCATACTTGCAAAAATAGAATATTCAAGGATATAATCTTTCAATGTAGGGTAATAACTGCTTGATCCAAGGATAAATCTGACTGCCATTCTGGGGTCAAGAAGGAATTTTTTTCCTAGCTTGTTGCAAAATTGTGCTTCAAACTGGGTTTTTTTGCCTTCTTTAGAATCAACAGCAAAAAAACAAATGTGAGGTAGGCTGAACTTGATGGATGCAAGTCTCTTTTCAGCTATGTAACTATGTAACTATATGTAACTATGTATCACAGGCAGAGGGGAGGATTTCTGATGTAATGAATGGGAGTGTTAGCTGGGTTGTAATGTGGTTGTTCTTCAAAACCCTGTGGGTAGTACTATGTTTGTAGAATGTGAATAAAAGAGGCTGTATGTGCCAGTACAGACCATTCTACTTCACCCTCAATCTAGAGTCCTGTCTCTTATTGGGGGAATTGCTATATCACTACAAGGAATTGCTATGCTCTGCATACTCCCTTAGCTAATCACTATTAGGCTCTTTTAAGAGCTTGTTCCTGCTTCACTCTCTTGGAGGAGAGGTTCACCCACTGGAACCTGGAGCCTTGTCGTAGGTCCAGAGTGGGTAGGAGACAGCGAGACCCCAACCAAGCTACGGTGGTTCGAGGGGTCTACGGTGGTTGTGGTGTCTGGCGGGGTACCAGGTGATCAGTTACAACAACCGAAAGACTTGATGAACGGTCGACCACCCTACGAGAGGAGTGTGCCCATAATTAACCTCCGGGAAGCTGCGGTTTGCGGTTACCGCAGCCTAATTGACTGGCCCGAGGGTGGTCCCGTTCATTTACAATTAACCGAACAGAGTACGTATTTGTTACAAACTGCCATTTGTAACTGTTATTTTATTTGACAAATTGCCCTGCTTCCCTGTGTTATGGAGAAGCCTAATTGCCAGCCTTCTGCCCCATGACTATGGACCTAGTGTGTATGGCGATTTGACTGTATTTGTGGGATCTGAGCGCTGTTTGGATATATTGAGCGCTCAGATCCAAGCCATCTGGGGATAGGTTGAATGTGGGGGTTCTGTTCAGTTCAATAGGAGTTATGTATTTTTGTGTCTTTTTGTGTCTTTTGCTAACATGTGGTTAATGGAGTCTGCCTCTATCCCTGGATAATTGGATTACTTTCCCCATTGTCCAGGATAGAGGCCTCTGTAAAACCGGTTTGGGCCAGAAAACCATGCTGCCAGCCAGGCCCCAAAAGACACTTTTGCTAACTTTTGAACCCCTTGTCTGATTTGTGCCATTTTTTAATATGTTGCTCCCCTTAATGGATTGATTCCAAATATGTAATTTTTATGAAGATTGGATGTGTAGTTTGGAAGTTATAGTACATGTATAAAAACTGTATTTTTACTGTTCTGTTTTAATTATGTTATGTGATTATCTGAGGGATGGGAATTTCCCCGAATGTATATTGTTCCGATTGGTTATACTGCTAATTATGTGGGTGTCTCCCTTGCATGGGCAGAATCTCATAAAAGCAGAGTGTGTGCCATTAAA